CGTAATGTTGTTATCTTGCGAATCACTGAACTGATCCTGAGGTGAATTATGCTGGTCTGAAGTGAGGAATGATGACCAGCTGTTGTGGCTAATATCGTTAAGCACTTTCATTGTGAGCTAGCAAATGTTAGCGTGTATTGTCTTTTCAGCAGACAATGGCGCACAAAAACCTTCACAGTGCACCGTGGTGAACACTGAAGCATTGCATAAATATACATGTGTTTTTCACAACTGTTAGGATATTCTCATAGAATGGTTTGTATGATATCCTGAAGTTGTCCCCCACAAATGACGTTACGTCCTTCACGTACAGTTATGAAATTAAGGTAAAGTTACTGAGGTTAGGTTTAAGAAAAGAAACGTGATGAGGACGTACCTTAAAGCGACTCAAAGTTCACACTGACTCCCAGGTGAAAGTCAGTTTTTTTTGTGACCCATCCACCACCCCAACCTGCCTCCTTACAAGCGCTTGTGACTGTTTCCTTGTTTACTGCTGTCAGCGCAACGGTCACGTGATCGCAGCCTTTCAAAGTAAATGGATATGTACAAATGCAGACGCACTGCTTTCCATAGGAAACATTTGTGAGAACAACCTGAAACTATTGTCAGATAAGCCATCAGGTTGTTTACTGGGGTAATTCTGTGATCATTTGGTGTTTATGTATGTTAACTTGTCTTAAATGTAATAGATTTTAGTATTAGGCCTATTTACACTACAAGTGATGCTTTCGCGTAGCGCTTGAGAACAATCTCTGTTTACTCACGTTTTCATGTCAGCGAGCATGTTAACAGTTTAGAGCATTCACACCGCATCCGTTCTATGTGCTGCTCGATACGCGCTGCTTTCCTGAGCAAGCTCGAAAATTGAAGAGACGCTGATTTTTTGTGCAAGTCGCGAGCGAATGGTCGCTGTATTCAACAAAAAGTCGACATCTACGGTGGCCAAGAGAGGTCATAACACACGCAAACTTGTGTTCAGTAGTAATACAAAGCAGACAAAGACTACTTACCCATTTGTAGTGCTAAATATTTATTCTCCAACCATTGGAATAATCACTGCTGCATGAACCTGTCCACCCTGGGCTGTGGTTCCAAACTCACTTATTCTTCTTTGGGGTTTATTGGAGATTTGCAAACACGGTGCACTACCACCACCGACTGTTCAGGTGTGGTTAGTATTTTGACGGGACAGCAGCGGCCACTGCACGAAGCGTCTGTTCGGTTTTGGTGTGAATGCAAGTGTGCTGACGCTACGCTTGTCGACCGCTTCGTGAATGCATTGCTTGCAGTGTAAATGAGGCCTTAGATTTGTGGTCAAGTTGTGGATATTTGCAAAATGTGGCATTAACTCTGTAGATCAGCTGGTTAAAGAACCAGCCAGTATCAGCCACAGACATTCAGAATGTGCCATGAAAGTATGTAGTATTCGTCAAATGTTGCTGATAATGCTCCGCACCAGTTGCAATTTGCGAGAAGAAGAAAAACTGTCAAAACTTGTGACGGTCATTTCTGTTAAGTGCACAATGGCTGTGTTTGATTTAAGGGAACACTACCCTAACAAAATCTGTGCACTATGCAAGTAAGAACAGAGTGTACACAGTGTACTACATGGAAGTGTGCTGACAGAAGCACCTGATTTAAGACACAGCGTTGGAGGCTGTTTGGTTATGCATCCTCACAGTTAGAAATGGTTTTGTTTACTACTTAGAGAAATATGTTTTCGGAGCACAGGGTCATCAGTACGTGCAGCTCCACTGCTGATTGATTAACAGATTTAAAACTGCACCTTTAAGAACCTCCAGTTATCCTTTTCAAGTAATACAACTAAACTGTGCTTTGTAGGATTTTACACACAACAACACCTCCCCCTCTGAGACGGCACAATTCAACGTGGCATCGACCGAAAGATCAGAATCTGTCATTTGGTTTCCTGTGCTGGTTTCTTTGTGTTATGAGCGAGAAGTTACTGATAAAAACAAAACTATGATTTCAGAGAGTGGATGGTAGTGAGACCAGAGAACAAGGAACAACTGTGGTCTTTATACCACAGAGGAACATGTGTGTGTGTTTGTGGAGGTAAAGAAAGGAGCCGTCCATCTCCTTCAAAGGCAGCAGGACGAGGAAACATCAGGATAAACAGTGCAGAGGACAGAGTGTGGCCCCGGGGCCCGACCTTGCATCCACAGAGCAGAAGAGGAGCTCGGACACAAAGACAACAAAGAGAGAAGAAGTGAAAGAGTCCATGGATGTCATCATGTGGAAGCAGGTCTTTGTGCTCCGCCTGTAAGGAAATGGATTTGTGTGCATTAAGGATGTTTGAAGAGAGACTCTGATGTTATATAAGATCTAAGAAGAGAACATGAAACATAAAAACAAGACAAACAATATGAAACAGTGGAACACGGACAGTATAAATTAAAGTCAACAGCACATAAAGTACCAGCTACAGTAAAACACGACACGCATTAATAAAAAAATGAGGCTGTTAAATAAAATACAAATTTGGAGTCAGAACTATTTTTGTTACTTTCAGGATAATCCACGGAGCTTGTTGTGAGCAGTTTCATGTAGGAAATTTTCTTTCTACACCCAACAATTATATCATGGTGCAGAAGGAAGTGTGCATCTACTCATGGACAAGGGGCCTTTCCCAAACCACCTTCTACACCCTCTCCCTGCCCACTTCCTGTTTCTGCGTTCATGTGGAGGGTTGACCACGTTGAGTGCGTTCCCAAACCAACTAGTGAGGAGTGGAGGTGAGTTATAAAACCCTCCAACAACGAGCCTGCACCAACGCCGACTTACTGACCATGTGCAACACCGTATTGTGTTCGTCATGGAAGACGCTAAGTACAAATAAAGTTCTGTGACAAACTTAACCTGCTCAAACTAAGATAGACTTTTACAGGCCGATTGTCATACAGACATTAACATGACCTCGTCACATATCGATGTTTGATCATGTACTTTCCACGTCAAGAGACAACGTCCAAGGTGATGTGTTGGTTGTTGACATTCTGGGACGCCGTGTCAGGACAACCTGTTACATGCATTGTCTGTTTTCAAAATACACTTCTGTTTTCACAGGAGATGTACAATTTGCATACAGTCTCTTTCAAAATAAAAGCACTACGTCAGTACAACACCACAAATTGATTTTTTTCTTCCAACAACAACCACACGTGGTTAGGTTTAGGAAAAAAGAACAGGGTTTGGCTTTACAGTCTTACAGGACATGAACATCGCTCTCTAAGGTGAAGGTTGGTGTTTGTTGGACCCATCCACCAATCGTCCCACCCACCCTACGGACATTCGCCACCTTAACTTTCTTCTTGTCCTGCTGCATTTCCCAGAAGCCACCGAGCGCTGTCAAACCATGACAGCAACCAGCGAAGTATCATGCTGACGTTATAGGACGGCTTCTTTCGTCAGTGTCTGACGCCGCAAGTCACCGCCCAAGCGCCAGATTTCGACGACTTCAGAGTGAGACCGAGTTGTATCCACAACATAATAAAGTGCGAAGGAAACGTATGGAGCGCATAAATGTACAATGCCAACATTTTTTCTGGCAGTTGGGTGGAAAAATTCAGTTATTGCAGCAGCACAAGGACAGAAATAGATAAATAGAGAAATTTAAATAAATAAATAATTAATGGTATATGAAAATAAAATAAACCCTAAATGAAGAATAAAATAAAATAAAAAATTAAACTGGGGGGGGGGGGGGGGGGGGACCCCCGGGGGACGGGCAGGAAGAAGGGGCTCGGCGGTTCACACGGGCCTCCGGGGGGGAGGTCCTGACTCAGGTGGAGGAGTGTAAGTATCTCGGGATCTTGCTCACAAGTGAGGGTAGGATGGAGCGGGAGAATGACAGGTGGATTGGGTCGATCTACGTTCCAACCCTCACCTATGGTCACAAGCTCTGGGTAGTGACCGAAAGAACAAGATTACGAGTACAAACATCCGAAATGAGTTTCCTCTGCAGGGTGGCTGGGCTCAGCCTTAGAGATAGGGTGAGGAGCTCGGACATTCGGGAGGTTCTCGGAGTAGAGCCGCTGCTCCTCCACATCAAGAGGAGCCAGTTGAGGTGGTTCGGGCGTCTGGTAAGGATGCCTTCCGGACGCCTCCCTTGGGAGGTGTTTCGGGCATGTCCAACCGGGAGGAGACCTCGGGCCGTCCCAGTACACGCTGGAGTGATTACATCGCCCGGCTGGCCTGGGAACGCCTCGGGGTTCCCTCGGAAGAGCTGACGGAAGTGGCTGGGGAGAGGACTGTCTGGGCTTCTTTGCTGAGGCTGCTGCCCCTGCGACCCGGACCCGGATAAGCGGAGGATGACGAGTACGAGTACGAGTACGAGTACGAGTAAATTAAATTAAATTAGAAAACTCCACAGAGCGTTTGGAGACCAAAATTGCAAGGTAAATCAAGTCGGCAACAATATTGTGTAATTTCTACATGAGAGAAAGGAAAGAAAAAAATGGAAACAAATCTTTTAAGTTGAAAAATTCAGCACAGGAAGAGTTAAATAAAAGTTTGAAGGCAGAGTAAAGTGGTTGGATGATTGTGTTGGAAAAAATATGGCTGTATTTACTTAAGTTATCAGGATAAATTTATATAATTTAGAGCAAAATAGACCTCAAAGTATCAGCTTAATGTGATGTAATTTGTCTCTGTATCTTTTGTTATAGTAAAAATTAAAGACCGAAATCAGAAGTCTGTCCAGCACGCGCTTCGTCACCATAAACCCAGCAAATGAACAGAGCGCGTGCCCGCCCCCAGAGAGAGAGAGAGAGAGAGAGAGAGAGAGAGAGAGAGAGAGAGAGAGAGAGAGAGAGACGACAGCTTGTCTCACATCCACAGACATTTTCAGAGGCGGCTAAACGGTCTGAACAGCACTTTTGACGTCAGGAATAATCATTACAGCCTACTCTCTCATCCGGGTCCTCTTGCTCTCCTCTCCTCTTGTGGTTTTAATATTTACTTCATCCACAGCAGCAGCAGCAGCAGGAGCAGGAGCGGCGGCGGCTTACAGCCTTAACGACAGCAACAGCAACACATATGCATACATGTAAAGAGGAGCAGCGGCTGGAGGAGCAGCGGCCGTGATCCAAACCAACTCCATCTCCACCTGTTTTTATTTTTTAGAACTTTTTTCTTCCCTGAATTATCGGAGAGGATGTTTGCGTTCCGGCTCAACAAGTCTCTTCTGTTTTTCACACAGTAACTGTGGATGGCTGCGGAATGGAGATAGCCTTGGTGAGTTTTGAGAACGGCGGCGCTAAAGGGAGCGGTGGTGGTGGAGGAGGAGGAGGTGGAGGCAACAATGCCGAGGAGAGCTGCCGGAACGCGCTGGATGTCCCTCAGTCGGGCTTCGTTCAAACTGGACTTGGAGAGGACTACAGTAAAGAGCTGAATACCCGGGGAAGTCCTCAGCAGCAGCAGCACCATCCTCCTCCTCATCATCATCAGCAGCAGCAGAGCTCCTGGAAAATCAACGACATGAACAACACTTTCAGCTGCAGCGAGAACGCCATGGATGCGCTTTTACGCGCGGACCACAGTCCCCATCTGTTCGACGAGGACATGCTGGACATGGACATGGACACAGAGAGCAACGAGAGGGTGCTCATCAACATAGCCGGGCTGAGGTACGAGACCCAGCTGGGCACCCTGAACCAGTTCCCTGATACTTTACTGGGAGACCCCGCCAAGAGGATAAAATACTTCGACCCGCTCCGGAACGAGTACTTCTTCGACCGCAACAGACCGAGTTTTGACGGGATTTTGTATTTCTATCAGTCAGGAGGGAAGATCCGGAGACCTGTCAATGTGTCGATCGATGTGTTCGCGGATGAGATTAGGTTTTATCAGCTGGGGGAGGAGGCCATGGAGAGGTTCCGTGAGGATGAGGGGTTTATAAAAGAGGAGGAAAAGCCGCTGCCTCAGAATGAGTTTCAGAAGCAGGTCTGGCTCATATTTGAGTATCCGGAGAGCTCCAGTCCGGCTCGGGGCATCGCCATCGTGTCTGTGATTGTCATCACCATATCCATCATCACCTTCTGCCTGGAGACGCTGCCAGAGTTCAGGGATGAGAGGGAGCTGCCGGTCAACAGCCGGCTGGACAACAGCACCGCGCCCCGGCCGTCCCTCACCTTCACCGACCCCTTCTTCATCATCGAGACCACATGCGTCATCTGGTTCACTTTCGAGCTCTTCGTGCGCTTCTTCGCGTGCCCCAGTAAGTCGGAGTTCTCCAAGACCGTCATGAACATCATCGACATCATGTCCATCATGCCTTACTTCATCACAGTGGGCACGGAGCTGGCGGAGCAGCAGGGCCAGGAGCACCAGAACGGGCAGCAGGCCATGTCTCTGGCCATCCTGAGGGTCATCCGCCTGGTCCGGGTCTTCCGGATCTTCAAGCTCTCCAGACACTCCAAGGGGCTCCAGATCCTGGGGCAGACTCTTAAAGCCAGCATGCGGGAGCTCGGCCTCCTCATCTTCTTCCTCTTCATCGGAGTCATCCTCTTCTCCAGCGCCGTGTACTTTGCAGAGGCGGACGAGCCGGAGTCTCACTTCTCCAGCATCCCGGATGCCTTCTGGTGGGCCGTGGTCACCATGACGACCGTCGGCTACGGTGACATGAGGCCGGTGACGGTCGGAGGGAAGATCGTGGGCTCTCTGTGCGCCATCGCCGGCGTGCTCACCATCGCGCTGCCCGTGCCCGTCATCGTGTCCAACTTCAACTACTTCTATCACAGAGAGACGGACCAGGACCAGTCCTCCCTGAAGGACGAGCCCAACAGCGGCAGAGCGAGTCCCGAACTGAAGCGCAAAGGGAGCAAATCATCAAACAAGTCTCAGCAGGACGTGGAGAACAACGACGGGGGCGCATCTGTGGAGAAGGCGAATATCAAAGCGAACAGCAGCATGGACTTCAAGAGATCCCTTTACGCTTTTTGCTTGGACACGCGGGAGACAGACCTGTAGTCCTGCTGTCCTCACTTTATTATAAAAAACTATTAAAGCCCATAGTTGTTTAGAGCAAACCCCCATTAATGGGCTCTTAAGTCTTTGCACATAGCAGTTGGAGGATCAACACATTGCAATCCTGAAAAGTTTTAAGAGCGACGGGGTTGATTTATAAAAAGCACATTTTAATCCCTCTCATCTGGGGAGCACATCCATCAGAGGAAAAACTGTTTTGAACAAACCACAGTGCATGTGATGCAACACAGTGGCCCTTTAAAGCAGGAACACCTAAAGAACATTGAATGAAACTCATGGATCAATCAAAACAGGACATGTGCTGCAGATAATCACGAGCAGGACTTGGAATAATTACTTGACATCGCAAGAGGATTAACAGGACCAAGCAGACTCTTGTACATAATGTAGGAAGCAGTCCATGTTCAGTAGTGCAACAACTGAAAAACAAGCCAAATTTTATTTTTTCGTACCTTCCCTACAGTTAGTCGTTATGTTTACGCTGAAAAGTTGCAGCAGATGTGTACATATTTCCCACAAGCCTACTCTTTATGAATCAGATTATGGTGTTATCGTAGATCTGGAGTAAAAACAAGTATATTTTTGAGACGCAGACACCTGTTTTTCCTCCGCTCAGGTTCTGTCAGAGAAGTGAGATACTTTACCCTTTTTTTCTAAATGAGAGCTGATTCACTCAGAGGACCTGAAGAGATTTTTAGCCTTGTTTATGATCATTTCAAACTAAAGAACATTTTTGAATTTTTTTTTAAAAAAAGGACAAAATGTGGAAGTAAACTGAGGGAATGACAGCTAAGAAAAGAGGACAGAGCAGAGACCATCTGGGGAGATCAAGCAACACAGATACCAGGTTAGTGACAAATGTGGTTAAAAATCTGTTTGTATTTGTTTGTATTTTCAGATTTGGTCACTGATGTGACTTCATAGAGTGAGATGGTGCTGAAAGAACAGCTCCTCATGTACGGAGTACCATTAGTGACAAAATTCAGCCCTTGTGTCTAAGTGCCAAAACTGATACTGATATTATAGAGTCTATATTTCTTTACAGAACATAAAATAATCAGCCCGTTTTATTTATTTACTTCATAATTAAAACTTAAATAGTTAAATAGTAATTCACAGGACTAAAATAAAATAAAATAAATTTGTCAGTAAAATGTGCACTGACAAAGTTTTCCTAACATATCTGCTCGTAGCAACAAAAACTGTGGTACTGAATTTTATTATCGTTATGTTCAGGCACTCACAACACTTAGTTAAGCTGGTTTTGGTTGAATATTGAATCACAGAACACGTCATGGTTACTTTCTTCAACCTCATTACTTTCCGAGCCATTAAACTGGATCTATTATGCTAATTTTCTGATTAATACTTGTATTTTTGGACTTCTAGGGAGAACATAAGCAACTAAGATTGCATTACCTGATTTTAGCATGTAGCTACATGTAGCAGTGTACTTGCAGCTATGGAGTGACTGTAAGGTCAAGGTCAAGTCATCGTAAACTTTATTATCCCACAAGTGGGAATTTCATGTGGTCATTCCACTCTCCATCACAGAGGCATTAAAAGAAGACAAAAACAAAGGCATGTAAAACAGTAAAGACATTGAGTGAAAACATAATAACATTAAGTCAAAACACCTCAGTAAAGCAGTCACAATGCAATAGAACGACAGTAAAAGCAATAAATAGAACACCATAATAAAAAAAATGGAATTAAATACAAACAGACATGTTCCAGCAGCAATATGATCGCTAATCTGGGAGGAATAAACAACAGCAACAAAGATTACACCTTTTCCTGACATTAGCATGCAGCTACATGTAGCAGTGTAATGAAGAATCGTGGCACTTCCTTGTGTGAAAAATCAGCAAGCTTCTAAACAAAAAAAAATTCCATCAGGACATGTTCCAGCATGAATATAATCTGTAATCCAGGAGATGGCATTGGCAATTAAGTTTATATGTTTCCCTGACATTAGCATGAAGCTACATGTAGCAGTGTACTTGCAGATGGGGACTGACTGTCACAGAGAATAGCAGCACTTTCTCATGGTAAAAATTCACTGATAAAAGCTTCTTAACACAAACTGATATTTTTCAGCATCAATATGATTAAAAATCTGGGAGAAATGAAAAACATCAGTAACAAAGATCACATGTTTTCCTGATATTAGCATGTAGCTACATGTAGCAGTGTACTTGCAATTGGAAAACGACTGTGTATGGTGACACTTTTTCCCATTAAAAGTCACCAATAAGAGCTTCTAAACACAACTGGACATGTTCCAGAGGGAGTATGATCTGAAACTGGGGAAAAATTAACAACATCAGCAACCACGATTATATGTTTTCCTGATATTAGCCGGTAGCTATATGTAGCAGTGTACTTGCAGCCGGGGAATGACTGTAACAGAGAATAATAGCACATTCTACTGTCACTAGTAAAAGCTTTTAAACACAACTGGACATGTTCCAGCAGGAATATAATCCAGAATTGGGGAAAAATTAACAACATCAGCAACCGACATGTTTCCCTGACGTTAGCATGTAGCTACATGTAGCAGTGTATGTAAGCTAAACACTTGCAGTAGCGTGCCTGGAGCAGATGACCAAATAAATCTGTCACAAGCTGACGTCATCTTGTCTTGTTGGAAACAGAGTATTCAGATCGGTGTGAAGTCTGAGGTTTTTTGCTCTCAGGGGTCACTTTTACATACCTTTACCTCGTTATTTAAAACTAGGAAATAAGGAAAAGCATAACAGGTCCCTTTTAACCAAAGTGCTTTTGTTGCCTTGACTTAACCACATGCAGGACTCAGGATGTGAAACCTGGCCTCTAGTGAGTTTTTTATGTGAACATAATTTATTTATTTAATTAATTAATTAATTTATTTATTTATTTTTATTTTATTCATTGAAAAGAAAAAGAAAAAAACAATACAATATAAACACAACATTCCCAAATCTGAATGAAAGGGAGCAGGAAGAAGAATAATCTTATTTAATCTGCCCCTTTATCCCAAAAAATCAATTTACAAAGCACTTAAATTAAAACAACAACAACAACAAAATAAACAAAAATAAATAAAATAGCTGCCGGCCACAACACACACAGTCACGTTCTTTTTAGTTCCCGAGTTACAATTCAATTAATACCATGCAAACATTTTTTTTATTTTTATTTTTTTTATATACTATACCTTTCATGACAATGGGTATGACAATCAGACATAACTAACATATTTCAATATATTTCCGTAACATACTGGCTTTAATTGTGTTTTAAATGTAATGTTTGACTTGGATTCTTTGGTTTCTTTGTTCAGATTGTTCCATAAACTGATTCCTTTCACAGAAATGCAACGTTCCATCAGTTTAGTTCTGGATCTTGGTTTTTTAAAGATCTCTGTTCCTTTTAAGTTATACTTGCTTTCTCTTTTTTCAAATCTTTTCTGAATATTGATTGGTAAAGTTTTTTTATGAGCTTCAAACGTAATTTAAAGAATACTGTAATCTACTAATTCATGAAATTTCAACAATTTTAACTGAAGGAATAATGGATTTGTTGGATCTCTATATCGCTTTCTACTGATTATTCTTATGGCTCTTTTTTTGTAACATGAAAATTGACTGAGAATATGTTTTACAAGCATTTCTCCAAACTTCAACACAGTAGGTCAGATACGGAACAATAATGGTGTTGTATAAAATGTACAATGTTTTATTATCTAATGAATCCTTTACTTTGTGTAACACAGCAATTGTTTTTGATATTTTTACCTTTGTATAATTTAAATGTGATTTCCAACTCAAATTCTCATCCAGGATGACATCCAAAAACTTCATTTCCCTTACTCTATTAATTTCAGTGCCATCTATATTAATTGAAACATCAGTGCCTTTCCCTCTGTTACTAAATATCATAAAGTTTGTTTCAAGATTTAGCGATAATTTATTTATATCAAACCATGTTTTTATTCTTTCAAATTCTTTTTTAACCACATTCAACACCTGTGTTATATCTTCCCCAGAATAAAATAGAGTAGTATCATCCACAAACAGTATACATTTGAACAGTTTGGATACATTAACAAAATCATTAATATACAAAATAAATAGTTATGGTCCGAGGACCGACCCCTGAAGTACACACTTTATTTGAGATGATTCAAATTTTACATTATTTATCTGCACAAACTGCTTTCTGTTTTCTAAGTAGCTAGAAACCCATTGATGTGCCACCCCTCTGATACCATATTTACTCAGTTTGTTAGAAGTATGATATGATCTATGGTATTAAAAGCCTTTTTGAGGTCAACAAAAATACTTAAAAAATAATGTCTCTTTTCGATTGCAGTGGATATTTCTTCCGTTAATTCCATTAGTGCCACTGATGTGGAGTGATTTGTTCGAAATCCATACTGACTATTGCTTAATATATTATATCTGTCGATGAATTTGTCTAACCTGGTTACAAATAATTTCTCTAATATTTTTGAAAACTGTAGAAGCAAGGATACTGGTCTGTAGTCAGAGAAAACATGTTTATCTCCATTTTTATAAAGTGGAATTACTTTGGCTGTTTTCATACTTTCAGGAAATATCCCTGTTGAAAATGATAGATTGCATATGTATGTAAATGGTTCAATAACCAATTCAGTTATGTTCTTTACTAATATCATGTCCATATCTACACAGTCAGTGGATCCTTTACTTGCACAAATAAGTATAATTTGGAAGAGCTGATTTTATTTTATCATTTTCTGTTGCACTATTTATTATTCCCCATGTAGCCTTCATATTGCTTCTATTTTTATTTAGTAAATCACCATAGTATTCCTTTTTATGTCTTCTTATTATCCATACTAATTTATTTTTATATTTCTTATACCTATCTTCTGCTTCTTTTGACCTTACTTTTAAAAAAACATCTATATAAATATTTTTTCTTCTTGCAGGCATTCCGTAGTCCTTTAGTCATCCATGGTTTGTCAATAGCATTTTTCTTGGCAAGACTCCTGAGTTTACAGTTTTTTTCATACAAATCTATCAATAACGTCATGAATGAATCATAAGCTATATTTACATCATTTACATACATTCCATCCCAATTTTGTTTTTTTAGGTCTTCTTTCATTGACTCCAAGGCTTCTTTTGATCTGTTTCTTATCAATTTTTCTGAGTTGAATTCCGTTGTATTACATTGACACTTTTTATAAACTGTAAAAACAGGTACATGATCACTTATATCAGTTATCAAGATCTGTGATCCACTGTGAAAATATTTTCAATAACAGTTGCACTCTGTGATATGATTCTTGTTGGTTTAGATATCATTGGAAACAGACTCAAACTATACACTGAATTTATAAATTCACTTGTTGTATGCAGTGAACTTGGATTTTCAACATCAATGTTAAAGTCTCCACATAAAAAGACAGTCTTTTTATGGCTCCTGTCAAACAGCTCCATTATTTTGTCTGTAAATGTCTCTACGCAGGAACCTGGTGATCTATAGACACAACTGATTATAACATTTTTAGCTTTTTCATTAATAATTTCCACTGTGATAATTTCCATAATACCGTTGACAACGGTTGTCATGTTACCAACAACCTTACAATTCAAAGTTGAGTTGATTTACCAAGTTACCCCTCCACCTTTTTTATTCCTTACATAATACAACTCATATCCCTCTATCTGAAATTCATCCATATCCCCATCCTTCAACCATGTTTCTGACACTGCAATTATACTAAAACTCTTTCTGAACTGCTTTAATTAATCTTTTATTTTTGATAAGTTACAATTTATACTTCTATTGTTGAAATGGATGATAGACAGTGTT